CTGCCTTCTTCTCACCAATAATCTCCTTTTGTTAAACAATCTAATAAGTCTTCCACGCCTGCGAAGGTAGGTCATGCATACACACAAACACACACACACACGCAAACACACACCCACACACAATAATGATAAAATAACATACTCCCTCTGTCTCATTTTAAATTGCCTGTTTGCCTTTTTTCTCCGTCCCAAAATAAATTGCCTGTTACTTGTTTTCTTAAACTTTTAAAAGTAAATTGCCTAAATTGCCCCTAAAATTAGTCACTTTTCACCACTTTATCTTCTTATTCATCGTCAACCCTTCTAAAAATAATGGCAATTTTGAAAAATCAATTCTATTTTTTCTTTTCCTTAAATATGTCCAAAAATCAAAACGGACGATTTAAAACGGGACGGAGGGAGTATTAAAAGAAGCGTAAACAAAAACAGTGAAAGAGAAATAAGTCAGTAGGAAGATTACTCTGTATCCATAGTAATTCCTATAGTTCCCAAATATAGCAACTTCCTTGCGCTTTTTGTTGTTTGGCTTCAGTGGTTTTTTTTCTTCTCCGTTGACATTGTTGTTCTTCCCTTCCTCCCCCATTATCTTTCGATGCTCAACTAGAGATGAAAATCCATCCAGTCAGGACCTAGAATTTCATATTACTCTTTGCATTTCACACTCTACTCATTCCTTTAGGCTCTTAGTTGGACGAACAACAGGGAAAACAATAAACATTGTATATTCTAATATTTACATGCAAAGATGGATATCCAGTCCTTATATTAATCATTCTAGGGCTTTAAGCATGATATACATTATACATCTGATAATATGATACTCCACAAAACCACAAATCACAATTCAAAAAATTATATAAAACATCATAATTAACAATTATAGAAAAATAATTAAAAATTACAAATAAAAATATAGTAACTGGCAGTGGCGGGTCACTCACTCACTGGGTCCGGCCGACTCAGGCTTCAGTGGTCAGTACAGGTCGAAGGAGCTGCGTCTGGCACGGCGGCCGGTGGAGATAAAAGCTGCGGCGTCCGGACAGGGGGCTTCTGTGAGAGCTGTGAGAAGGGCGGAACGCGGACCGGAGATTGCCGGCTGATGGAGGGATATTTATAGGAAGGGGCTGGGCTGCGAATAGGAAATTCGGCCATTAGGATTAGGTTTTTTTTTTTGAGAAATTTGTTCCAAATAATACCAAATTTTAATATGGAGTATTTTTTTCAAATTTGTTCCAAGTAATACCAAACATGCTTATTTTCACAACTATGTCGAAATAATATAAATAACTACGGAGTAATATTCTTGCTTATTTATTCATCCCACCATTCATGCTTTAACAACTACATCTTCAATAAATCGTCTTCAAAACAACTACATTTTTTCAGATGTATTTGTTGAAGACGATTTGTTTGAACCACTCGTTCAACTACTGAACCACTAGTTCGACCAGTGAATTAGTGTCTTGACCGGTTTGATTCTTAAAGTCATGTTTTTATCACAAAATTTTTCATCATGTGTAGTATTTCAGACTTTTGATAACTTTTATTTGTTGTATACTTTCATTCATCGTTTGATAATATAAAAAATACATGTAGCTACTTGTTTTGTAAAACTTAAACTTTTATTTGATATATATAAGTTGTACTTTATATTTTTTATACCGATTTCTAAATAAAATATTTTAGAAGAGATGAAATTTTGCAAGTTATTCAAAACCAAGCGATTGCTTTGGAATAGAAGGATTGAGAAATAAGAATAACTTAAAGAAAATCTATACTCTACTTAAAAGCAGGGGAAATCTTGTATTCTCTAAAATAAAAAGTTAGTCTTTCAATTTCCCCCCCACTGTCTTATGTTGATTACATATTACAAAGGGAAGAAGTAAAAAGAATAATCCGAAGTTATAATATGTTCACATTTTACAATGAAAAAATAAAATATTGTAAATGAAGGAACACCGGTTATCGGAAGTCGAACAAGTTCTAGAGTTGCGCGGTGTGTGGTCGGAAAAAGAACCTATAATCATTAAGGAAAGCGAAGTCAACAAAGCTTGCTTTATGGTATTATCGTCTGCCTCCCGCAGTGGGTAATGAAGACGATCCCCTCTCAGGACAAAATCGCTAACGTGCAAGGTTTAGACCGGTACAACCGTGCACCGACGAACTGGAACAAAAGGAGAGTTACTATCCAGAAAACTGATCTGAAGTTGGAACTATTAGAACACAACAGGTTTTTTTCGAGAGTCTCCCTCACTACAACTAACCCTCTTTATATAGGAGAGGCTTTGGCTATTCGGATGAATCAACAGACAACACGAGGGGTCGCGGTGCATGGATGCTTCCTTTTCTTCAACACTTCTTTATTAACGACGTATCCACAATATCCAATTACACTCTGAATTTTGGTTGATATTTTGGTCAAAATCTTGACAAAAATATCGACTACTTTTTGGAGTGCAATTGAATATCTCAGCATGAGGAATTAGGGGTTAGGTAGTCAAACTTCCAAATTGACTCTATACTCTATGACATTAAAATCTAATGCCAAAAGTCTCAAAAATGAAACCCTCTCCATCTTTGAAAGGTTTGAAAAGGAGAGCCATCACAAACAGCCAACCCAATGCCAGTCCTCCCCCCTCTCCCAACTCCCCTATAATACAACCTCCATTCACAATCTTCCCCATCCATTTGAACAAGACAAGGTGACCCCACCCCTTCACAGTCCCAACCATTCCCCCCCTCCAACACAGGGCTGCTCCCCACCACCCTCCTCCACCCCTTCAACCCGTCCGCCGACGCTGCCACCCCGATGCTCCTCCTCCCGCCCGCCCCCACCCCCTCGTACGCCATCACGTACCGCCCGCTCCCCCTCT